AGAAGAAGAAGAAGAGATTGGATTTATACACCGCCCTTCACTCGGAGTCTCAGAGCGGCTTACAAACTCCTTTCCTTTCCCCTCCCCACAACAGGCACCCTGTGAGGTAGAAGAAGAAGAACTTGGATTTATACCCCGCCCTTCACTACCCAAAGGAGTCTCAGAGCAGCTTACAAACTGCTTTCCCTTCCCCTCCCCACAACAGACACCCTGTGAGGTAAAAGAAGAAGAAGAAGAGATTGGATTTATACACCGCCCTTCACTCGGAGTCTCAGAGCGGCTTACAAACTCCTTTCCTTTCCCCTCCCCACAACAGGCACCCTGTGAGGTAGAAGAAGAAGAACTTGGATTTATACCCCGCCCTTCACTACCCAAAGGAGTCTCAGAGCAGCTTACAAACTGCTTTCCCTTCCCCTCCCCACAACAGACACCCTGTGAGGTAAAAGAAGAAGAAGCGATTGGATTTCTACCCCGCCCTTCAGTACCCAAAGGTGTCTCAGAGCGGCTGACAAACTCCTTTCCCTTCCCCTCTCCACTCAAACTGAGAACAGTTGGCCTGAATTGTTTTTGGTGGGGGCAGAGCTGGTATCCTCGTTCTGTAAGGTGGGTCAGCTGTTGGGGTCCAGGGCTTCTGGTTAGACCCATTGCTGCCGACCTTGCTAGCCTTCTCCCCCCTCCCATGCTCCCAGCCACACATGCTTCTCGGGGACACCAAGGAAAGAGTTGCGGGCCATGCAGGTAGCGGTGAGCATGGGTGGCAGAAGGTCTTGCAAACTGACACAGGACCTCCCAAAACCTGGGGCTGGTCCCGGGTGGAGGGGCACTTGGTGCGAAAGATTGGAGTGCAGAGCAGTTGCCCTGGATAAATCCAGTCTGGCTGGTCTTTGACTTGAGGCTTTTCACATTTCTCATTTTCCTCGCTTGTAAGTTCCTGTTTTGTTAAGTCCGTGCTTAACAAAATAGCCAGAGAGTGATTTCAGCAAAACTCAGGTTTATTTCAGCTCACGCCAATGTTGGATCAGGCCAAAGGCCCATCCAGTCCAACACTCTGTATCACACAGTGGCCAGAAATACCAGTGCCATCAGGAGGTCCACCAGTGGGGCCAGGACATTAGAAGCCCTCCCACTGTTGACCCCCCCAAGCACCAAGATGACAGAGCATCACTTGCCCCAGAGTCCCTATCTATACCATGTGGCTCATAGCCACTGATGGACCTCTGCTCCATATGCTTATCTAATTCCCTTTTGAAGTCGTCCATGCTTGTAGCTGCCACCACTTCCTGTGTCAGTGAATTCCAAGTGTTAATCACTCTTTGGGTGAAGAAGTACTTCCTAGGTCAATTCGATATCACACCTCTAGAGGTCAATTCGATATCACATCCAGTGTTCCCTCTAAGCTGAGTTAGTGTGAGCTAGCTCACAGTCTTTTAGCCTCCGCCTCACACATTTTTTGCCTTTGCTCCCAAAGGATGGCTCCAGGGCAAGCTAATCGATGCAGCAGCCAAATCGTTCGCTTACAGTTTTAATTCCCGTTGCTCACCAAGTAGAATTTTTGCTCCCAAGACTCCACAGCTTAGAGGGAGCGTTGATCACGTTGGTTTACCTCCAGCACAGCTTCCCGCAGATTTAAACTGGAGGTGTTTTATGCCAGACACAAACCTGTGTGATATTGAGTCGGCCACTAGAGGGAGCAAAACGTGTACAGAACTGAAGGCCCCACCCCAAGAAACAGTAACTTGCAAGCACTGTTCCCTCTAAGCTGAGTTAGTGTGAGCTACCTCATAGTTTTTCAGCTTCCAGCTTCCAGATTTTTGCCTGAGCTCAGGAAGGCTGGCTCCAGAGCAAACTAATTTATGCAGTAGAGAAATTGCTCACTCACAACTTCAATGCCAGTAGCTCACAAAGTAGAATTCTTGCTCACAAGACTCCACAGCTTAGAGGGAACATTGCAAAGTTGCAAGGAAGGAAAATTAGAATGCGGAAAAACCCTTGGAATCTGTGTCCCTTTAGAAGAGGCCCGTTTCTAAGAGAGCCTACCAGACCTACCCATATGAGTAAACAGGGTGGGTAAAACAGGTGCCCACCCATTCTGGAAAGGCTTAAGCAAATCATAAGTGATAAAATTTTCACCTGGGGCTTTATGACTCCTCATTATTACTCCTTAATTGTAGAGATTGGGGATTTCATTTCGCCGATGGATATGGGGGCACTTCGCCTGACACCCACCAAGTGTTTCTAGGAAGCGGGTGGGACCAGGGAGGGCTTTTGCCCAACAAGGCTTCTGATTGGCCACTGGAGATTTGATGGGCTGTGCAGGTTTTTTGACGTGTCGCTTTGGCGACAGCTGCTGCCACAGCACAAGGATCCGTGCCGTGTTACTGGCATTACTGAAGTTAAGCCGTTAGGCAATCGTTTTGTGGCTGGCTCCGCCCCTTGCGGCAGCCATTTTGTGGCTGGCTCTGCCTCCTGCAGCAGTCGTTTTGTGGCTGTGGTCAGACTTCGGTTGGGAGGGCAACATCTCCTGGAGATTCCAGGCCCGAAAGAAGCTAAACTTGCTGTGACTAGGGCTGGGGTGTTTTCGGTGGCGGCTCCTTCCTGGTGGAATGAGCTGCCGGAGGAGATCCGGGCCCTGCGGGACCTTGTGCAGTTCCGCAGGGCCTGTAAGACAGAGCTCTTCCACCAGGCCTTTGGGTAGGAGCCGCCGCCATCGCCATCGCTATACCATCACCACGATGTACCATCCATCTACCGTATTCCAGGGGGTAGATGTCGCCTGACTGTGTTGGGGAATTACCGCTCCTGGCGCTCCCGCTATCAAGAACATTGGCTGCAAATGGGAGTTGCGGAACATTTAGTATAATACTTGTAGAGCTGAAGCACCAGTTTTTTTATATATGTATTATTGTTTTTATTGTGCTATGAATTTTTAATTGTTGTTAGCCGCCCTGAGCCACTGGGTAGGGCGGGATAGAAATTGCAAAATAAATAAATAAAATAAATAAAAAGGTTGGGGACCCCGGAGCCCAAGAGACTAAGGGCCACTTGGCTCTCCCCTTGGAGGTTTCGATAGGCCTTTCCTTGACCACGGGATTCCTGCCTCTTGCACCCCCTTTTTTCTCCTCCCCCAACATTGCAGGCTCTCGATCGAGAAGCGGCCAGAGGGGACATCCTGAACTACACCGTGGTCTTCTGGGACCGCCGCGAGAC